TGCTGGAGTCTCTCTGACCCTACTCTGGATCCACAGGCTACCCAATTTGCAAATTACACTTTGCTCAATTAAACTCTGTTAAATTTAATTTCTCTAAAGTTTTTTTCTTTTAAAAGTTTTGTAATTTTTTCTATGATCAAAAGTAAATCATGTGTTTTGGAGCTTTGATTTTCTTTCTTTCTTTCTTTCTTTTTTTTTTGAGATGGAGTCTCCATCCATTGCCTGGGCTGGAATGCAATGGCACGATCTTGGCTCATTGCAATCTCCACCTCCCGGGTTCAAGCGATTCTTCCGCCTTAGCATCCAAGTAGCTGGGATTACAGGCACCTGCCATCATGCCTGGCTAATTTTTGTGTTTTTGTAGAGAGGGGGTTTCACCATGTGGACGAGGCTGGTCTTGAACTCCTAATCTCAGATGATCTGCCCGCCTTGGCTTCCCAAAATGCTGGGATTACAGGCATGAACTACCACACCCGGCCTGGACTTTGATTTTCTAAGTTCACCCTTCAGCTATTTTCCTAAATTATTCCATGCTCGGTTAAAATGCTTCTGTAGGTTTTTGTTGTGTTTTGTTTTTACAGTGTTTTTGTTTCGTTTTACAGGTTTTTGTTTTGTTTTTACAGGTTTTTGTTTTTGTTTTGTTTTTACAGGTTTTTGTTTTTGTTTTTATTTTGTTTTTACAGTGTTTTTGTTTTGTTTTACAGGTTTTTGTTTTGTTTTGTTTTGTTTCTATCACGCTAGACATAATGTAGTGGCGTAACCAATCATTGCTCACTGTTGCCTTAATCTTCCAGGCTCAAGCAATCCTCCTGCCTCAACCACCTGAGCAGCTGGGACTACAGGCATGCAATATTATGCCTGGCTAACTTTTAAATTTTATTTTCATGTTCACAGGATAATACTATGTTGCCCAGTGTTGGGGAACAGGCCCCCAAATCTGACCATAAACTGGCCCCAAAACTGGCCCTAAGCAAAATCTCTGCAGCACTGTGACATGTTCGTGATGTCCATGATGCCCACGCTGCAAGGTTGTGGGTTTACCAGAATGAGGGCAAGGAACACCTGGCCCATCCAGGGTGGAAAACCGCTTAAAGGCGTTCTTAAACCACAAACAATAGCATGAGCGATTTGTGCCTTAAGGACATGCTCCTGCTGCAGATAACTAGCCCAACTCATCCCTTTATTTCGACCTATCCCTTTATATCCCGTAAGGAATATTTTTAGTTAATCTATAATCTATAGAAACAATGCTTATCACTGGCTTGCTGTCAGTAAATATGTGTGTAAATCTCTGTTTGAGGCTCTCAGCTCTGAAGGCTGTGAGACCCCTGATTTCCCAGTACACATGCTCTGAATTTCTGTGTGTGTGTCTTTAATTTCTCTAGCGCCACTGGGTTAGGGTCTCCACCACTGAGCTGGTCTCAGCAGCCCAGGCTGCACTTGAACTCTTAAACTCAAGTAATTTCTTCATTTCAGCCTCTTAAAGTGGTAGGATTACGGGTGTAAGCCACTGTGTGCCTCAGCAATTTCTTGAGAGGATTATTCCCATGTGTTATATGGGCACAAATCTAAAAGAAATCTGGCTTCTATTGTAAAAGTGTCTTTCTCCAGGATTTCGATGATCTGTGACAGTCAATAGTTTGATCTATGGAGGTGCATGAGGTTCGGAGTTGGACTGAGTTGATCCTGAGTCTCAGCCCAGCCATTTGAATGTTTTTGTTTTTATTTTGTAATGCTGCCATCTCCCTGAATAAAACCCATGTTAGCCTGCTGGGGGATAAGATACCATGAGGAGGAGAAGCAAGGTGCTCCTGTTGACATCCCCAGAAGCAGAAGCTCACCACCATAAGCACAGCTGCCTAGTCCTCAAGTAGCTGATTATACATGTCTGAAAGAACTCTACTGAGACCAGAAGAATGGCCCCACAGCCCAACCTAAATTACTGACCATTCCAATTTTGAGCTAATAAGTTTTGGATGGTTTGTTATGCTGCAATAACTAACTAATACACGCACTCAGTGCAGATAAGATTCCAGTATTCAATGACAGGTTGATTACTAGTTACAGTCTAATAGTGGGCACCCAAAAGGTATTGATTTTTTTCCCTGGATTTTAAGTAGTATGACTTGCAACAGCATGTTCAGTAATGCAGAAATACTTATAGACATGTATGCATGTAATTGGTCCTTATACTCACACAGCCCCCACACCACAGGAGAAAACAGATGACCACAGCCTGAAAATTAGGGCCAATGCCAAATAGCAAGGTAAGTTTGTCTTTAGCCAGGCACAGTGGCTCACGCCTGTAATCCCAGCACTTTGGGAGGCCAAGGTGGGCGGACCATGAGGTCAGGAGATCGAGACCATCCTGGCTAACACAGTGAAACCCCGTCTCTACTAAAAAAAAAAAAAACACACACAAAAAATTAGTTGGGCGTGGTGGCAGGCGCCTATAGTCCCAGCTACTTGGGAGGTTGAGGCAGGAGAATGGGGTGAACCCAGGAGGCGGAGCTTGCAGTGAGCCGAGATCACGCCACTGCACTTCACCCTGGGCACAGAGCAAGACTCTGTCTCAAAAAAAAAAAAAAGTTTGCCTTTAATCTATTTTCTTCAGGTCTAAAAGACTGTGGACAGATTTGAAGACAGGGAGTTCTCTTTTCATGTAGCCCTATCTTTCTTTTGTTCTGTTTTGTTTTAAGACAGAGTCTCACTCTGTTGCCCAGGCTGGAGTGTAGTGGTGCGATCTCAGCTCACTGCAACCTCCGCCTCCCTGATTTTAGTGATTCTCCTGCCTCAGCCTCCTGAGTAGCTTGGGATTAAAGTCACCCGCCACCATGCCTGGCTAATTTTTGCATTTTTAGTAGAGACAGGGTTTCACCATACTGACCAGGCTAGTCTCAAACTCCCGACCTTGTGATCCGCCCACCTCAGCCTCCCAAAGTGCTGGAATTACAGGCGTGAGCTACCATGCCCAGGCTTTTTATTTTTATTTTATTTTATTTTATTGTTTTTAGATGGAGTCCCGCTCTGTCGCCCAGGCTGGAGTGCAGTGGCAACATCTGGGCTCACTGCAAATTCTGTCTCCCAGGTTTAAGTGATTCTCCTGATTCAGCCTTCTGAGTAGCTGGGATTACAGGTGTACACCACCACGCCCAGCCAATTTATATATTTTTAGCAGAGACGGGGTTTTGCCATGTTGGCCATGCTGGTCTCAAACTCCTGACCTCAAGTGATTTGCCCACTTCAGTCTCCCAAAGTGCTGGGATTACAGGCGTGAGCCACTGTGCCTGGTGGCCCTATCATTCTTTGTTCACTGTATGATCTTTAGAAGAAAGGTGGGCAACAGGTGGCCAGCAGTGGTCTACTTGTGGTGATTTTATTCTTGATACTCTCTGATCTTTCTATGGCCACTATCTGTTCCACTCTCGGAACAGCACAGAGACATTGCTAGAGAGAGGTTATCCCCTCACCTCTGGCAGAAAATGGATGTTCAGACCCTTCACCTTCCTGACGTCAGAGCTAACACGTTCAATACAACAGCTATTGGCCATGTGTGGCTGGCTACTGGGTGCCTGGAATGTCGCTGCAATTTGCTAGAAACTAAATTGTAATTTGCTAGAAAGATAAAATACAGAGTTAGTTTCAAAGATATAGTTCCAAAAATATATATACTTCATTAATCATTACATATTGCTCACATATTACAATGATAATATTTTGGATATATTGGGTTAATTAAATTGTTACAACTAATTTCACCTGTTTCTTCTTCTTTCTTAATTTTTTTTTATTTTTGAGATGGAGTCTTGCTCTGTCGCCCACACTGGAGTACAATGGCGTGATCTTGGCTCACCTCAACCTCTGCCTCCTGGGTTCAAGGGATTCTCCTGCCTCAGCCTCTCTAGTAGCTGGGATTACAGGCACCTGCCATCATACCCAGCTAATTTTTGTATTTTTGTAGAGACAGGGTTTCACCATATTGGCCAGGCTGGTCTTGCACTCCTGACCTCGGGTGATCCGCCTGCCTCGGCCTCCCAAAATGCTGAGATAACAGGCATGAGACACTGCACCCGGCTTTCTTTTCCTTCACTTTTATTTTCTTTCTTCTCTTCACTTTTCTTTCTTTCTCCTTTTTCCTTCCTTCCTTCTTTCCTTCCTTCCTTTCTCCCTCCTTTCCTCCCTCCCTCCTTTCCTCCCTCCCTCCCTTCCTTCCTCCTCTCTTTCTGTTTCACTCTTTCTTTCTTTCTCTCTCTTTCTCTCTTCTTTTTTACTTGAGATGGAGTTTCGCTCTTGTTGACCAGGCTGGAGTGTGCAGTGGGGCGATCTCAGCTAACTGCAACCTCCGCCTCCCTCTGCCTCCCGGATTCAAGCGATTCTCTTGCCTCAGCCTCCCAAGTAGCTGGGATTACAGGCGCCCACCACCATGCCTGGCTAATTTTTTGTATTTTTAGCGGAGACGGGGTTTCATCATGTTGGCCAGACTGGTCTCAAACTCCTGACCTCAGGTGATCCACCCGCCTCGGTCTCCCAAAGTTCTGGGATTACAGGCGTGAGCCACGTAATAAAGGGCCCTTCTTTATTTTTCAAGTCTGGCTACTAGAAAATTTAAAATTCACATGTGGTTCACATCTTATTTCAGAAGATTGGCTCCTTTTAAAAATCTCAGGCTGCTAGTTCAAAGGACTAGGAGCCAGGAAGGTCATAAAATCTGAAATTTTAAAATAATTTTTTTTTAAATTTGTGAATAGCCATATATTATTTATAACTGCTTATGACCTTATACACAAGGTTAAGGGAAAATACCCTCTAAGGTGGGCCTGGCTCAGCTTAGGGAGGAAGCCCTGCCTGAAAAGGCTGCAGCCTGGGCTGTCACTCTTTCTTCACTTCGCCCAGCATTTGGTCATATCTTCTGTCACTCAGGGCCTGAAGGGGCGGGTCCTTAAACCTTATCCAATCAGGAGCACTGAGCTGGGAACCGTCCAATCAGGCACACAGCTGGAGTGGAAAGGACGGCTTCCGGGATGTGGCTGGGCCATTGTTTCTCGCTGTTGCTGAGCTTCACGTCTCTTTACTGTTCTGTGTCGTCAGCGTGTGTGGCTTCATGACCTGAAGGTATTTGGAGATCCATAGCTAAGATGCCAGGACCCCCTGAAAGCCTAGAAATGGTGAGAGTGCCGAGTCCGACATCACGAGAGAGGGCAAGGGGTTGCTTGGAACCGGTGGGAAGTGCTGTGGCGTGACTCAGGCCTCCTCGCAGTCAGCTCCACAATCTGCGCCCGAGTTTTCCTTGCCCAGCTCGGCCTCAGTCTCCTTCAGTCATAAGTTGGCGGCTGCGCCGACAGCCGGGGCCTCGGGCGTCTTGTCTCTTCCCTGCACTGTGACTGTGCCCTGCCTGGATCCCTCTCTGGCAGCTCTGCACCCGCAGCACCGCGTCTCAAATTGTGCAGGGACCGCGGGAGGGTCGTCAGGGGAGAATCCTGAGTTGGGTTGCGGGTTCATGAATGCGAAGAGCTTTGGTCCGTGGGGTTCCCAGTTGCTATTTTCTCCTATTAAAAGTTTATGGAGTCACTACAAAAATATTAAATAATTTAATCAGAGTGGTTCTAGAATTGTAGAGCACCCAGCTATGTTTTGTAGTTTGTGGTCTGTGGGAGAGGCTTGAAGGAAAATCTTTTATAAAATGCATGGTGAAGAAACCAAATTTAGTAATTGGTTAGGTACAGTTACGTGGTTTCTTAATTTGTGCATTAAAGGTGAAAATTTCCTGGTTATGTAATCAGAGCTTAATTGGCAGTTTATAGTTGCTGAAGCCTGAATTTTGTTTCTCTGAATGTAATAATTAAAAATAATGCACCTGAGTTAGATTTAGATTTTTTTTTTTTAAGTAAGAATCCAGGGACTAGAGATACCTCAGTCTAATTGCCTGCCACTTATTTATTTTCACACTCCACAGGGAACTGATTTTCTACTGTATTTTTCACCTGTGTCCCAAGCAGCGTCTTGGAACCCATCCCCCATTTCTCCAGCCTCTCTCTGGCTTGCAGTAAGATAATTTCCAGTTTCTTCTGACGTTCCCAAATGCCAGCTTTTCCTCCCTAATTCATATTATTGCCTTTTTGTCTTCTAGTGTACTTTTTTATACCATATTTTAATTATTTTTTTGGCAAAGCATTAAATGGTTAAATGGTGCGTTTAAGGAGATTTGTTGTCTGTAAATATTTCCCATGAAAAGAAAGCAAATAATAATACCCTGACACTATACTGTCGTAAATCTCTGTGTCTCTTTTGCTTTTATCTTGTCTAGGCACAGAGATGTTACCGGAATGTTTTTGGGTCAGAGTTCTTTGGAAAATTTACGGGGTGATGTGTCCTCAGCCACCCTTTGGTTTTTTTGTGTGCATGGGTTTCAGTACTATCTGGGGATACACAAAGGTAACTGCCATGGTTATGTTAGCTGGAGTGTCCATTGGATTTCAGCTTCTGGTGTATTTTCTCCCATAAGATGACCTGAGGTATGGAGTGTACCCTCTCAAGGGAGCAAGTGGATGTTCTGGGGCTAAGGGGAATCTGCCGGTAGACTCTTATTTTGAAAGGGTAACCCCTTGAAATGTTAAAATTGCCTTTACCCAACCAGGCTTCCATTTCTTGGAGACAAATTGCTGGTCAGCCAATCAGATGCTGGTAATGAGGGGCAAACACAGAAATAATTTCTGCCCCCTGGATTCTCTAAGGGGAGCAGAAAAATAGTGAAATAAATATAGTAAAAGAAAGAGAGTAAAAAAAAAGTGAAAATTTTGTGACCAAAAAATAGTATCCCAAAAGACAAGAACGAAAACAAAACTGACTCCAGTGAGATGGTGTAAGAGCTTGCCAAGTAAAATGCAAGTGGGACAGTCACCGAGAAATAGTGCAGTGTCTTCTGGATGGGTGGTTCTTGAGCACACAATGAGCAGGAGTGGGTGGAAGAATCAAGTGATTGAATGGCCTTACTTGAAACATGAGTCAGACACATCTGTTATTTATTTATTATTTATTATTTTTTTATTTTTTTTTGGGGGGGGGGACATAGTCTCACTGTCGCCCAGGCTGGAGTGCTGTGGCCTAATCTTGGCTCACTGCAAGCTCCGCCTCCCAGGTTCACGCCATTCTCCTGCCTCAGCCTCCCGAGTCGCTGGGACTACAGGCGCCCGCCACCGCGCCCGGCTACTTTTTTGTATTTTTTAGTAGAGACGGGGTTTCCCCGTGTTAATCAGGATGGTCTCCATCTCCTGACCTCGTGATCCACCCGTCTCGGCCTCCCAAAGTGCTGAGATTACAGGCTTGAGCCACCGCGCCTGGCCTGCTTTTCTTATTAAGGTATACAGTATAAGCACCTTGGCCGGGCGCAGTGGCTAACGCCTGTAATCATAGCACTTTGGGAGGCTGAGGCGGGTACATCACGAAGTTAAGAGATCAAGACCATCCTGACCAACATGGTGAAACCCTGTGTCTACTAAAAATACAAAAATTAGCTGGGCATGGTGGCACGCACCTGTAGTGCTACTCGGGAGCCTGAGACTTGAACCTAAGAGGTTGAGGTTGTAGTGAGCCAAGATCGCACCACTGCACTCCAGCGTGGTGACAGAGAGAGACTCCGTCTCAAAAAAAATAAATAAATGTAAGCACTTTAAAATTTTTTTCCCTTATATGAACACTGTGTTTCAGTAATTTTGCTGAATTTTTTAAATTCTTAATTTCAAAAACCAAGTGAGTAACTCTAACATGAAAATTAAAGTTTGAGCCCAGTGACTCAGAGCTAAGGCTAATACTGACCCTGCAAAAGGAGTTTATGAAAGGCCTAGTTAGTTTTTTTTCCGGAGAGCCTCCCCTGCAGAAGTTCCAGCCTGCTCACTCCAGTCATGGAAGAAGGCTTTCTGCTGACAGAAGCTGCAGAGTCCTGGAAAGCTACAGGCAGATGCAGTTAAGGCTAAGATAAAAGGGGACAGGGAGGGTCACACTAGCCATGTACTTGTTATTGTACATCAGAGATGCTACTGATTTAGTATCCTGAAACTTTGCTGAAGTTGTTTATCAGTTTAAATAAGTTTTGTGCTGAGACTGTAGGATTTTGAAGATACAGAATCTTGTCATCTGCACACAGGCATAGTTTGATTTCCTCTCTTCCTGTTTGAATGCCTTTTATTTCTATCTCTTCCCTTATTGTTCTGGCCAAGACTTTCAATTCTGTGTTGAATAAGAGTTTTGAGAAAAAGCATTCTTGTCTTGTGCCAGTTTTCATGAAGGAATGCTTCCAGCTTGTGTTCATTTTCTATGTTGACTGTAAGTTTGTCATACTTAGATGACTCATTATTTTGATGTAGGTACCTCCAATGCCTAGTTTTTTGAAAGTTTTAAACATGAAGGATGGTAAATTTTATTGCAAACTCTTTTAACATCTACTGAAATAACCTTGTGGTTTTTGTCTTTAGTTCTGTTTACTTGAAGAGTAACATTTATTAATTGTATGTTGAACCAACTTTTTATTTCAGAGATACAGCCAAGTTGATCACAGTGGATTAGCTTTTTGATGTTCTCCTGGATTTGGTTTGCCAGTATTTTGTTGAGGATATTTTCATCAATGTTCATTAAAAATATTGGCCTCAAGTTTTCTATTTTTTTGTTTTATATTTGCCAAATTTTCATATCAGAATAATGCTATTTTTATATAATGAGTTGGAAAGAAGTCCCTTTTTCTCAGTATTTTGAAATAATATTAGTAGAAGTGGTACCAGCTCTTATTTTACATCTGGTAGAATTCAGCTGTAAATTTGTCTGGTTCTTTGTTTTGTTTTTGGTGGGTAGGCTATTTATGTATTTATTTAATTTTGTTTTATTTTACTTTTTGAGAAAGAGTCTCACTCTGTCGCCCAGGCTGGAGTGCAGTGGCACAATCTCAGTTCACTGCAACCTCCACCTCCCGAGTTCAAGCAATTCTCTGCTTCAGCCACCTGAGTAGCTGGGATTACAAGTGTGGACCACCACACCCAGCTAATTTTTGTATTTTTAGTAGAGATGGGGTTTCACCATGTTGACCAGGCTGTTCGCTATTCTTGAACTTCTGACCTCGTGATCCACTCGCCTCGGCCTCCCAAAGTGCTGGGATTACAGGCTGAGCCACCATGCCCAGCCAGCTATTTATTTATTTATTTATTTTTATTTATTTATTTTTTGAGACGGAGTCTCACTCTGTCGCCCAGGCTGCAGTGCAGTGCCACAATCTCGGCTCACTGCAACCTCTGCCTTACGGATTCACGCCATTCTCCTGCCTCAGCCTCCCGAGTAGCTGGGACTACAGGCGCCTGCCTTCATGCCCGGCTAATTTTTTGTGTTTTTAGTAGAGATGGGATTTCACCGTGTTAGCCAGGATGGTCTCAATCTGACCTTGTGAGCCACCGCCCCCAGCCCTGACTGGCTATTTGTTACTAATTCAGGTTTGGAGCTTGTTATTGGTCTATTCAGGGATTCAATTTCTTATTTGTTCAGTCTTTGGAGGATGTATCATTGCTCCAAGGTTACAATCCTCGAGCTTGGCCCAGCGAACTTTCTAATTCATGTTTCCTCAGTTTTTTCCTTTTAGGTAGACATATTACTTAGAATGTGCTAGAGGAACCTCTATGAAGGGATCTATCCTTTGATTGTACTCTACTTGCTGTAACACCCAAGGATGCGGAGTCAGGTTAATCCCACCTAGAATCTGCACATAGGGTCAGGCCTCTGCCTGGGATTTACAGGACAGGGCCAGACTTTCGATTGAGAATGTAATGAAAACCAACCAAATATATTTTCTGCACTGTGAGATGTCAGCATAGACATCTTAAAGCCCCCCTTTGAGAGTGTGGCTTTGTAAGCTTTTCAGATCTTGTTTGGTGACCTGCTACGGTTATATGAGAGGCTCCAGGTATAAATAGAATCTGATGACAGAATCTATAAGTGTAAACAAGCATCTTCAGAGTAAGAGATCAAGGCCACAAAGTATCCAGAGCTATGACCACAACTATACCTACCTGTAAATTGTAATTATGGAGTAGAGTATTCTTGTCCTTCTTACCCAAAAGCTAGCAAATCAGGATAGGTTGTCCAGATTCTGGAGCTCCACCAAAGCAGTTCCATTTTCTATTTAGAATCAGCCTGAGTTTCTCCAGTTCGGCTTATCATTGGGCCATCAGCCTTGGGTCACTGGGAACCCTCTCACAATCACCTAGGTTTCTTTAAGACATTTGAGGATGTCAGGGACAGAATTGTGTCAGGCTGACAAGAGTGATTAATTCTGCTTGTGTCTCAGTGTAAGAGAAAGGAGTCATTCTGTGTTTTTTTCTCCCTCATAAGAGATAACTTTGGTTGGTGCCCAAATTAAAGTTTATCAAGTTTTCTGGTAGTTGGGTGAAAGACAGAGGAGGTCTGGCAACTCAAATAAACTAATAGCTTCCATTTCATATTATCATTCGAAAAATAGATGAAGCAGTCATGGTCCCTACCATCCAGGAACTTTTAGTCTAGACTAGCAACTGAATACATGGTTGAATTAAGCATTATATGGTTGGTAGAATGAATAGATGTTTGGGGAAAAAAAAAAAACAACAAGAACTTGGGCCACTTTTTGAAAATATTGCTGTGACTTCTGATGTTATCATTATCACCTGAAGGGATATTTATGGACTGAAGAGGTGTTATTATTTGTGTTTATTTTACTTTTCTAAGAATACATATTTATCTTCTAATAAAGTTATCCTAGAAAACTTTAAAAGATTCATTTAAATTGCTTATTAGTGTATGTTATAAAATTGAGAGAGCAGTGGCAAAAATAGATTAAAGTTACATAAACTCTGGGATTTAAGTTTTTCTTAGGTAAGCTTAGGAAAAACAGAACTGGAAATACCTCAGTGGCATAGAGAACAAATTCAACCTAGGGTCTTCTCCCTGCCCCAGTTCTGATCAGATTCACTTTTTTTGGAGGCATTTTTAGCTCTGGCCCCACTCTGGAGTCTTTCCTTACAAAACTGATTTATAGAGATTCACGTTTTGGCTGGTAAATCCTGCTGACTTTCTAGAGCTGGTGCTTACAATATCCTGAAACCCAAAAGTAGATACATAAGAAAAATAAACTATACATTTTAAGATCTTAATTTTTAAATTTTGTAGTAAAACCAGTGCTTACAGAAACATTCCATTTAGCAACTTTTCTATTCCTGCAGATCCAGTAGTTGCTATACAAGTCACAAACAAGTATATATAAACAGAAAAAATCCTCTAAACTACATTAAACTCTGTCTATATTTCTTTATATATCTTCATCTGTCTATATTTAGCTTTTAGTTTATATGTTTTTAAGAAAATCAATGACAGAGAAACAGAGGAAGAAGTGCTAATTCTGGGCCCTTTATCTAAATCCTGAGAATTATTGAACACTTAGTATGAACTTCGAAGGTCTTATTAGGATTTAATCACAGAATGTGTTATTCCCAGCACCGTGCTCTGTATCATACTCTTGAGCATATAGTACCTGCGCAAGAGTGCTGAATGTAAGGGGCTCTCTGCTGTGCCTCCTTTCTCTAATGCTAATGATAAGCCCAGGTGGAGCAACATAGCAACATTGACTTTGACAGGGGACTTGTTTGGAACACCCATTCATGGACCCTTTCTAAACTTGCAGAATCACATTACATAAAGTGGGACCAACATTACCAAGTGATTTTTGAGTTCATTAAAGCTTGAGAGGCAATGCTTAGCTAAGTGACTATCAGCCCAGGCTTCTCATTAGGATCACATGGCCAATTTGCAGACATCTCTTTCTTTACTTGTGCCATCTCCCCAGGTTCTGTGTATTGTTCTAGGTGAAAGTATTCATGTTGTTTTAATTGTTTCTCATGTGACTCTAAGGTGAGGACAAAATCAAGTGGGTGGGGTTCAAGATACATTCATAAGAGTTGAGTTTCACCTTTGCACTAAAAGGTAGTCACAGGAACTGTTCTATTTGGTTTTAATAGGAAGAGGTCAGTGTGACCCATATTTTCATCACCATAGCAGAAATTGCTGGTGTTTGTGGCAAGGGCGGGCACATGAAGACAGGAATAGAGAAACATATTTTTATATTCATTGAGCAGCTCGTTGTTCCTGAATCTCTGCTGTTATAAAGGACAGAAATGGGTGGGCTTTTTCTGCAGGTCTTAGTTCTTTGTTCTGTAGTTGTGAGGCTTGCAGGTAAATGGGTGGTGCTGACTTCTTTACAGGAATTTTCTCAAGATGCAGGTGTAACTTCTCCAGAGAATGTCATCTGAAAAGGATTTCCAAAGAAGGCAAAAGAGGAAAAATGGCTTTTTTTTTTTCAGCTAAATATGTCTCAGATGAAGATCTGTGTCTACTCTGCCTCATGGAATGCCATGCATTTAGTCCTTGCAAACCTTTACTTCTCTACTTGTGTTTCTTTTCCCCTAATGAGTTTAACGACTTTTTAAAATTCTTGTGATAGTCAAGGGTCTCTGCAAAATGTTTCTCTCCTATATCCCAGAACCTTCTCTACACTCTCTAAAGCATGACTTCTTATATGCCATGCAAAATTCTTAAAATGAATTTATAGTCTGCACTATTTAAAATGTTCCCTTTGTTGCTGTTGAACATGGGAAAATGTAGATATTCAAGATTCCCATTGGCGGAAAGCTGGGCTCCTTAGTAAAGATAAATAGCATGTAGTCTTGTGACTTCATCTGTTTTCTCCATTAACTCTGTGCGGAACAGGATTAAGAAAATGCTTATTTAAACAGGATAGCGTTTATTACCCTGAAAATTCTGAAAAAAAGTTATTGAGAGATACCTGCTCTCTCGGGTGCTAAAGAAAGACTACTTTAAAATGTTATTAAAAATTACAGAACATAGAAGATATCTGCATCTTGAACTCCACATAATACTGACTTTTCTGTGTGGTTAAGTTCAGACTAGAATTTACTTTTTGAGAGGCAGTATCTCAGCAGTGATGATGTGTTCTTCTGTGTGCATCGCATCAGCACATCATAAACATTTGTCCTAATGCAGTTGATTTTAAAATTTACTTAAAGAGCTCTCTGAAATACTTATTTCACTATAGAGTTCATTATTTTTCTCTTCATTATTAAGTATCTTTATGTAGCTAAAGAAGAGCTGTGCATAAACCATCGCATTTAATCTGGCAGCTGCCTTTCTTTCTTAGGTTTTCCTTGCATATATCTGTCTTTGGAAAATGAAGACTCTTGTCTTTGTTTACAGGGCAGAAAAATTGAGTAAAACACAGGTTCTTCCACTTACGGGATATTTGACAAAATATTCTTTCTGGGCCAAACACATTGGCATTACTAGTGGGCTTGTTAGAAATTCAGAAAGCAGAGTTTATTTCAGATCTTCTGGAAAAAAAATTGTGCCCAAGATCTTCAGTTTATTGTTCACATTAAAATTTGAGAGGTGCCTTCTAACTCAACATCTTTTTTGTCTGAAAAATATATACAACTCGTTCTTTGTGTGGCAAATATAGCACTAAAAAAGTACATGTTTGTGTTCATGCATTTAGTTTTATACTTTAGTATTCATAAAAGTATGTATACACTGGTGTTGTAGATCTTATACCATTCTCATCCCTCAAAGAATACATTAGAGAATATTTCTGTGTTGAAAATTGTTGGATAACTTCAGTCATTCCTGTAAGTCAGAACCAAACTTTTTTACTCCCTCATTTAACCTTAACTCAAATGATAAATTTTGCCCACGTGTAAATATGTGTGTTTGTGTGCATGTGTGCATGCGTGTGTGTGTTTGTTTCAGGGGCCGTTGACATTTAGGGATGTGGCCATAGAATTCTCTCTGGAGGAGTGGCAATGCCTGGACACTGCTCAGCAAGATTTGTATAGGAAAGTGATGTTAGAGAACTACAGAAACCTGGTCTTGGGTGAGAATAACTGTAATACACAATTCCTTATATACCCTAAAGTTTTCATTTCTCTGTTTTCGTAGAATAATTTTTGATAATTTATGCTTTTCATAAATGAGTTTCTGATGCCTGTTTTAAAAAAATCTTGAGGAATTGTCCGTGTAAAAAAAAAATTCTTCAGGATGTTTTATCTTGGCCTGATCTTTTTACATTTCTGAGCTGGTCTATATCCTTCACTCTAGAGTAGTGATAATTTCAGAAATTTAGTGGTATAAAATATTGTTGCCCATATGTTAAAATCTATATGCCACCACTAATTTTTTATCCATGAATACTGGGTGGTGAAATTAAGCACCTACAAATTTAAAATATTTTCTAAATGTTAAGAACTTTCTGTCATTAAATAGTATTTTGGGATAAATTTTCTAGAATATTCTATTACATCCTCTTTATTAAGCATGGTACTAGGTAGGCAATTAGAGAATACGGGCAAGATTCATGTTATTTATTTTTAATAAAGCAGGTATTGATGTCTCTAAGCCAAATCTGATCACCTGTCTGGAGCAAGGAAAAGATCCCTGGAATATGAAGAGACACAGTATGATAGTGAAACCCCCAGGTAGGTGAGAGTGAATGAAACAGTTGACATAGATGAAAGGTTGAAAGATTTAAAAAAAAAAAAAAAAAGCCAGTCCCTGCCAGGCGCAGTGGCTCACGCCTGTAATCCCAGCACTTTGGGACGCCGAGGCCGGTGGATCGCCTGAGCTCAGGAGTTCGAGACCAGACTGTTTTATACCAACATGGTGTAAACTCTGTCTCTACTAAAAATAGAAAAATTAGCCAGGCGTGGTGGCAGGTGCCTATAATCCCATCTCCTCAGGAGGCTAAGGCAAGAGAATTGCTTGAACCGAGAGACAGAGGTTGCCGTGAGCCGAGATCGCACCACTGCACTCCAGCCTGGGGGACAAAAGCAAGACTCCATCTCAAAAAAAAAAAAGAAAAGAAAATAGTTATCAAGTGAATATAATACCATCACCAAATCTGTCCTGCTGATTTGGGAAGCTGTGTTCCAAAGCAAAGAGTTTCCTGGAAGCCTGAGGTATATATATTTTTGTTGTTGTTATTCTTGTTCTCACATAGGGCCATCTTCTGTCTTATGCTTTTAAATTCTCTAAGGATTCTACTTTCTCTTCATTGATACTCCTTTAAGTTTACAGTGAGAGCGAAAATCCTCTTCATGGCATACAAGAGACTGCACAATCTGACTGCTTTTCCATTGTTTTGGGAGACACACAAATATCTGCATCTGCATGATTTTGAGAAACATATGTTAAACTATTTTATAGTTCTCTTTTTGCATCATTTCTAAAATGTGTGAGGGTAGTGGTCTCTGTTCTATTGGTTTTTATGTTAATTTTCTGAACATTCCATCCTATTCTTGTTAGTATATTCTTGAAATATAGTTTGAAATTTTAAAGTATGATGTCCCTCTGTTTTTTTTTCTCATAATTAATTTGGCTATTCGAAGTTTATTGTAGTTTTTTGTAAATTTTAGAATTGTAGTTTTCATTACTATAAGAAAAAATGCTACTGGAATTTTGATAGGAAGTTTGCTGAATCTATAGATTACTTTAGAGAATATGGTACTTTAACAGTATTTATTTTTTCAATCCATAAATATGAAATATTTTCAAATTTATTTGTGTCTTCCCTAATTTCTTTTATTGATTTATATCTTTCATTGTTAAGATTTTTTGTCTCTTGGGTTAAATTTGTTCTCAGAAATTAATTATTTATATTTTTAAAAAGATTGTTTTCTTGGTTGGCACAGTGGCTGGGGCCTGTAATCCCAGCAATTTGGGAGGCAGAGGCAGGTGGATCACTTGAGTTCAGGAGTTTGAGACCAGTCTCGCCAATATGGTGAAACCCTGTCTCTACTGAAAATATAAATAATTAGTTGGGTGTGGCGGTGAGCACTTGTAATCGTAGCTACTCAGGAGGCTGAACCAGGGGACTCACTCTTACCAGGGAGGCAGAGGTTGCAGTGAGCCAAGATCACTGTATTACACTCCAGCCTGGGCCACGGAGCGAGACTGTGTCTCAAAAAAAAAAAAATTTAAAAAAATAAATTTTTTTTTTTTTTTGAGATGGAGTCTCTCACTCTGTCGCCCAGGCTGGAGTGCAGTGGTGTGATCTCCGCTCACTGCAAGCTCTGCCTCCTGGGTTCTTGCCATTCTCCTGCCTCAGCTGCTCGAGTAGCTGGGACTACAGGCACCAGCCACCATGCCTGGCTAATTTTTTTGTATTTTTAGTAGAGACAAGGTTTCACCATGTTAGCCAGGATGGTCTCGATCTCCTGACCTCATGATCCACCTGCCTTGGCCTCCCAAAGTGCTGGGATTACAGGTGTGAGCCACCATGCCTGGCCTAATAAAACTTTTTAAATTTCTATTGTATCCAATAGCTTGTTTTAAGTGTATAGAACAATAACATACGTTTATGTTAATTTTATATTTTGTTAATTTACTGAGTGTATTTATTAGTTTAAACAAATTTCAGTGTACTATGGTTTTTTATGTGTAAGATTATATATTACCCAAACAGCAACTTTTTACTTGTCTTCAGTTTCAATGGCTTAAAAAAAATTTTTTTTTTCATTATTCTGCCACATACTTCCAGTGCTATGTTAAAATAGAAGCATTGACAGTGGGCACAATAGAGTTTACTATTGGTATCTGTGAATTTGAAACAGCAAACAACTCCTTAAGTTTTCATAAACTAATTTCAGGAGGTAAAGATCTTTTCTTGGGTCCCCAGGGTTCTGGGATACCCCCTGGGTTTGTAGTGGAGTGGGGTTGTAACTTGGTTGCGAGGCTGCTGGGTCTGCACTAGGGTCCACATTTAGTTGTCTTGTTGCAAGAGGCTTGGGTAGTTGTAATTCCCAATTTTTTTTTTTTTTTTTTTTTTTTGAGACAGGAGTCTCGCTCTGTCACCCGGCTGGAATGCAATGGTGTGATCTCAGCTCATCAAAACCTCTGCCTCCCTAGTTCAAGTGATTCTCCTGCCTCAGCCTCCTGAGTAGCTGGGATTACAGGTGCCTGCCAGCACTCCCAGCTAATTTTTTTGTGTTTTTAGTGGAGACTGGGTTTCACCATGTTGGCTAAGCTGGTCTCGAACTCCTGACCTCAGGTGATCCACCCGCCTTGGCCTCCCAAAGTGCTGGGATTACAGACGTGAGCCACCGCACCCGGCCACTCGTTTCTTTTAAATGCTTGTTAGAAGTTTCGCATCAGAATATTTTATTTATAATTATACTGCATATTCTCTGAAATTTTACTGCCAGTTATTCAAAATACCTGCCTTTGATGAGTACACACTTACAGTCAAACACTGTAGTCAGACAAATTCTTTTTTAATGGTACATTAATGTTGCATACCAAATTGTATGAGTAAACATGTCTCTTATTGTTGTGCAGTTTCATATTAGTGGTGTTTTTAGTGTAGGTTTCTTAATATCAGCTTATCATGGTTTTTGGTTATGTATTAGAATTTTAGTCAATTTGCAATTCTGTCTGTATACTTTATGTCGATGTGAGGTTTAATTAAAAGATAAATCAGCCATATGTCTATCACAATCGTATATGTGTGTTTATCTATAAATATGACCCCAATATTGGTTATGGCTTATCTTGTATATATTCTTTCTTTCTTTCTTTCTTTCTTTTTTTTTTGAGGTGGAGTCTCACTCTGTTGCCCAGGCTGGAGTGCAGTGGCGCAATCTCAGCTCACTGCAATCTCTGCCTCTCGGGTTCACATCATTCTCCTGCCTTAGCCTCCCAAGTAACTGGGACTACAGGCGTCTGCAACCACATCTGGCTAATTTTTTGTATTTTTAGTAGAGAGGGGGTTTCACCATGTTAGCCAGGATGGTCTCGATCTCCTGACCTCATGATCTGCCCGCCTCAGCCTCCCAAAGTGCTGGGATTACAGGCATGAGCCACCGCGCTCTGCCTCTTGTATATATTCTTTCTTAGCTGATTTTCAGTGGTGGTTTTATCTTGTCTAAGTGAGTAGTCATGCAAATATTTTCACCATTTCTTGTTTTCATGATTTGTTTAATCATGAATATATATTTCCTTTGTGTAAGGGAAATACTTCTGTGATTCGAAGGTAATTTTTGAAAAGATTTATAATTCTTTTTTTTTTCAGTTTTTTGGTTAGAAAATTAATTGTTGTAAAAACACATAAAATTTAGCATCTTAAATCTATTTAAGTGTACATTTCAGGGCCCAACATATGGGTGGCTCACGTGTAATTTCAGAAATTTGGGAGTCCAAAACAGGAAGATCACATGAGCCCAAAAGTTTCAGACCAGCCTGGGCACCATACGAACCAGCCTGGGAAACATATGAAGATTCCCTCTTTACAAAAATTTTTTAAAAATAGCCAGGCATGGTGGTGTGCACCGGTGGTTCCAGCTACTTGGGAGATTGAGAGGGGAGGATTACTTGAGCCTGGAACTTTGAGGCTGACGTGACCCTTAATTGTGCCACTTCACTTCGGCTTGGGTGACAGAGTGAGACCCTATCTCCAAAGGAAGCTGTATATTTCAGGCATGTTAAGTTTATTCACATAGTTACGCAAAAGACTTCTAAAAGTTTTACATCTTGTGAAACTAAAACCCAGTACCCATTAAGTAACAACAATGCATTTACCCTCTCCCCAGGCTTGACAAACACCCTTCCAATTTCTGTTTTTATGAGTGTGACTACTTAAGATATATAAGTGGAATCATACGGTATCCATCATTTCGTTTCTGACATATAGGTGACATTTGGAAAGTTTATCGTAAAATGTGATAATTTCTTCTTTAAAACTGAATAATATTTTATTGTGTGTGTCTATATATATATGCAACACTTTTGATGTGTTTATAAATCAAGAGACATCTGAGTTGCTTCAGCCCTTTGGCTTTTGTGAATATGGGTACAATAAACATGGATGTTCTGATAGGTCTTCCAGGTCTTGTGTTTCATATTTTGACTATAAATTCATAAATGGAATTGCTGTATTTGATAATTAAATTTTTAATTATTTGAGAAACATAACATTTTAAAATAATGACTGTATCTTTGTTTTCTACTAACAATATAGGTTTCATTTTTATTGCATCATCAACAGATTTGGTGTGCTTAAAAAATTTATAGTGGCCATTGTAATGGGTGTGAGGCAATTTTGTTTTTCACTCTTATTTTCATGTGTTTCTATACAAAGTAGAGAAATGTTCTGTGTCATTTCAAATACTCTTTTTCTATATGTGTATCTTTTCTGATGAAAATTTTCAATTGCTCATTTCTAAATCAATTTAGCATTATTGTTCAGTTTTAAGAGTTGTTCATATATTATGAATATTAACTCCTATCACATATGATTTGCAAATATTTTCACCTATTTCCTAGAAGGCATTTTCCCTCAGTTGAATATTTTTTTTAATGTGCAGAAATTTTCAAGTATAGTGTAGTTACATTTTTCTGTTTTTTTCTTTGTAATTCATGCATTTAATATTATATCTAAGAAAATGGTGCTAAGACCCATATCATCTCGTTTTTTTTTGTTTGT